CCCTGCCCTCGGAGACCCTTTAGCGCCTCGTCCGGCAAGCTTGAAGCGTTCCGGTGGGAGGGGTGTGTGACGCCTGCCCCCTCCTCTCTTTTGGCCGGCCCGCGCCCCTCCTCAGCCCTCGTAAGGCTTTTTGTCCCCTCCCCCCCCCCTGACCTTCCCTCCCTTCCCCTCCCGTGGCCTCCCCTCCTCTCCCCCCCCCCCCCCTTCTCTCTTCACCCCCTCGGCCGTGAGCAGGTGACGCCCCACTCTGCAATCCTCGGCGCCGAGCCTCCGCTGCTCGCCGCAAGCGCCGGCACGCCGGCTGCCGCGCTGCCCCGCCTCCCGAGGCTGCCTCGCTGCCCCGCCTTCCATCGTCGGGCCAGCTGTTTCCGGCGCAAGGGGCGCCAGCCTCTCACACCTCGGCTTTGTGGTTCTCCTCGGGGGGGAAGGGGGGGGAGGGGAGGAGGGGGCGCCCACGCCGCCGCCCTCGCCGCCGCCCACGCCGGCCCGCCCCCTCCTCAGGCGACGCGGCGGCGGCGGCAGACTCGCGGCTGATGCCCGACCTGATGTCGGCCACGGACTTGTCGCAGCTGCTCGGCTCCGACGGAGACGACTACTCCCTCCCAGGCGCCGGCTCGAGCCACTTCGCCTCTTCAAGCCACTTCGCCCCCGCCGCCGCGCCGCCGCCGCCGCTCGGCGCGGTGCCAAGTCCGAGTGCTTCGGCGGCGACGGCGCCCGGCTGCCCACCCGTCGGCATGTCCGCTGCGTGCTGCTCTTTACCGTCTGCTCTGCCGTTGCTCGCGTCTCCTCCAGCAGTGGCGGCGAGCGGCGTCGGCCTCCCGTTAGGGCAACTGCCGCCGCACCTTCCCGGCAGCCTCCCGGCCAGCCTGGCGCCGGGCAGCGCGCAGCAGCTGATGGCGGCGCGGTGCGGCGCCGCGCACGGCAGCGGCGGGCTCGGCCAGCGGATCGACGCGGGCTCACTGTACGCGCTCGCGTTGGGCGCTCCGCCGCTCTCGCTCGCCTCCGCCGTCGCGCAGGCGCTGGCGATCCCTCAGGGCACGGGCGGGCAGGTGTGTGCGCCGAGCGCCCGCCAACCCTCGGCCACTCCAACTGTGAACGGCGTCTCTTGGTGATGCAGGTGAACAGAGCGCCCGCCGACTCCTCTTCAACGGCGGCCATGCTGGCAGCGGGAGCTGTCCCTCCCGTCGGCGCCGTGGCGGACGGCGGCGTCGGCGCACCCGGCTTCGCGGCCGCGGCGGCGGGCGGCGCCGGCTCAAGCGCCGCCACCCCTGCTGGGGTTGGCTCGTCGCTTCCCTTCTTGGCGCAGCTGCAGACCGGGGCGCCACTTTCCGCCGCCGCCGCCGCCGCCGTCGCGCAGTTGGGCGCGGCGGGCTTGCCGGCCCACTTCTTCTCGGGCGCCGCGCCGGCTGCAGAGCCGTTCGGCGGCGCCGTTTCGGCGGTCGGGCTGTTGGCGGCGGGCTCCGCGGCGGGAGGGACGTCGCTGGGCAAGCGGCCGTGTGCGTCCGCCGCGTCTTCGGAGTGCGGCGGCACCGCGGACGACCCACCTGCGGGCGGCAAGAGGACGCGGAGGAAGCCGGCGGAGCCGCGCGCCGCGCCGTTTGTCCAAAAGCTGTACGACATGGTCACCAACCCCGACACCGACCCCGCGATTTGCTGGTCCGCGGGCGGCGCCTCCTTCCTGGTGCGGTGGGGCCGGGGCTTTGTCCCCTCCACC